ACTATTGTTGTATGCAAACTCCACTAATGGCAAATAATCCTCCTAGTGGCCTTGAAATCAAAAACATACGATCGAAGCATAACTTCCATGATCTAATTAACCCTCTCAGTCTGTCCATCAGTCTGAGGATGATAAGCAGTGTTAAGATGCAATTCTGTACCTAAAGCCTGCTGAAAACTCTTCCAGAATCCTGACACCAAGCTCGAATCGCTGTCCGATATAATAGACAATGGACTACCATGTAGCTTTACAATCTCAAAAATGTAAAGCCTCGCCAACTGCTCCGAAGTGAAATCAGTGCGAATAGGCAAGAAATGAGCTGATTTGGTCAACTTATCCACGATGACCCAAATGGAATTATGACCCTTGAAAGAAGTGGGCAATCCCTCCACAAAATCCTTAGAAATGCTCTCCCATTTTCACTCCGGTATCGGTAGTGGCTGTAGAGCTCCTGGTAGCCTCTGATGATCAATTTTAACCATCTGATAAGTACTACACTGAGAAACAAAAAGAGCGATGTCCCTCTTCATACCTGCCCACCAAAACTGCCGCTTCATATCCTAATACATTTTATCCACTCCCGGATAAACAAAAAACTCAGAGTGATGAGTTTCAGTCATCACATCATTCCTCAAATTGTCAACAGAAGGTACCATGAAGCGTCCCTTGTACCTCAAACCTCCGTCAGTCCTAACATAGTAAAACAGAACCTCCCCATCAGCTATCTCTACAACTTTGTCAACACACTACTGATTCGTGAGTTGTGCCTTCAGTACCTTACGAATGATAGAAGGTGTAACTACCATGCAAGCCATAAAAGCATCTGACAACTCATCTACATACTTCAAAGCATTCCACTCAGTGGTGAATAAAGCAGAAAGACTACTAACAGGTCGGCAACTGAGTGTATCTACCACCACATTCGCTTTTCCTGGATGATATTGTATAGAAAAGTGATGGTCCTTGACAAACTCCAACCATCTGCGCTGAAACTTTGGCTGGATCTACTGCTATACCCCTTTCGGACACCACATGACCCATAAACTTCACTTTTCGCTGCCAAAATTCACACTTCTCAAACTTGGCATATAATTGGTGCTCACGAAGTATCTGTAAGACTATATGAAGATGTATAGCATGATCGTCCTCCGACCGAGAATAAATCAAGATATCATCAATAAAGATGATGACAAATAGATCTAAATAAGCCCTGAACACTCGGTTCATTAAGTCTATGAAAACTGCTGGTGCGTTAGTCATCCCAAACGGCATGACACGGAACTCATAAGATCCATATCTCGTAAGAAACGCTATCTTAGGAACATCCTACTCCTTAACCCTCAACTGATGATATCCGGAATGCAGATCAATCTTGGAGAAGTATGTGGCTCCCCTTAACTGATCAAAAAGATCATCAATCTTGGGGAAATGATACTTGTTACGAATAGTAACCTTATTCAACTCCCTAAAATCTATACGCAGGCGAAGCGAACCATCATTCTTCTTCACAAATAAGACCGATGCTCCCCAAGGTGAAATACTCTTACGAATGAAACCCTGGCTGAGTAATTGCTGAATCTGATCCCTCAACTCACGCATCTCCATTGGTGCCATCTTGTAAGGTTCCCTAGCAATAGGTGTAGTGCCTAGAGCTAAGTCAATAACAAAATCGATCTCACGACTAGGTGGCAACCCTGGAATCTCCTGAAATACATCTGGAAAGTCCTGTACAATTGGTATATAATCCAATGACACAGTAACCTCCTCCTCCATTTCCTCCTCCACATGAAACAAATAAGTGCTACTGCCCCCCTTAGAACGAGGCATAGCTACAACATACATGTCCTGACCAGGTATGGTAAATACAATAGACCTATCAAAACAATTAACTTGGGTATGGTAGTAAGATAACCAATCCATCCCAAGTATCATGCCATAAGTGTGCATGTCCAGGACCAGTAGATTGGCTAGAAGTCTGAGTCTGCCAATATCTAGTGTCATAGGCCCATCACTCTCATGTAAAATGGCTGTATCACCCAATGGTAAAAATACCCTAAGGTCTAGTGTATACCGTCGTCCTCGGCCCAAATAAAGTAACAAAAGTCCTAACTATAAATGAGTGTGTAGCACCCATACCAAATAAAACACGTCAATGCAAACCATGAATAGGAAACTTACCCTCAACAGCCTGCGGTGCCTGAACATCCTGTGGCATGGGATTGTACACCCTGCCATAGTGCAACTGCTACGGTGCTTGTCCCTGAGACTGCGGTGGTGCTGGTAAAGCCAAATGTGTCTGTCCCTGAATTCGTGGAACCTGTGGAGCTAATAAAGGCACTGGCTCCCTTTGCCCCTATTGCACATGCTATCTCTGTCCCTGTCCTGCTTTAGGACACTGCCTCGAGGTATGACCATACTCCCCACAAGTGTAGCAACTACCCTGGAAAGTTCCAAATGGCCTCCTCTGTCAGTTAGCCAGTGGCTGACACTATTCTGCCTGTGGTCCCCCATTCTGCTGCCTCTGAATATGTGCTCCATTCCGGTGAGCATCTGAACCACCCTTGTGCTTCTTCCAAGACTGTTATCCCTGGAACTTGCCCTTATCATCCTGTCGATGTCCATTGCTGTCCCCGTTCTCAGCTGACTGATTAGCAGAGTTTTAATCACCCCGCTTCTCACCCCGTGCCTTTCTGAAGTCCACGGTCAACTGATACTACTGCAAAGTGGCGTCCACCACTTGAGCATAGGTAGTGTAGGTTGCACTCCCTGTGATAGCTCACTTAATAGACCACATCAGTCATTTGACGAAACTATTACGCTTCTTTTCCTCTGTATCCACCTCCTCTAAAGCAAAAAGAGACAAGCGCATGAACTGCTACTCATACTCTGCCACTATCATATTCCCCTGTTCCAGGTTGAGGAACTCTGTCTTCATAGCTGCCCTGACTGCATACGGAAAGTACTTCTCATCAAAACGAGTACTGAACTGATCATAAGTCAATGTGATCCTCTCCTCTGCGGTGGTAACTGACTCCCACTATTGCAGTGTATCCCCAACTAGCTTAAAGGTAGCAAGCATCTACTTCTGAACCTCCATGCACTAAACCAAATGAAGATAACGCTCAATGTCCTGTTTCCACTGGTGAGCTGCTTTTGCATTAGTAGAGCCTAAAAACTCAGGTGGGCTCCCCTTTGTGAAAGAACTCCTAGCCTTTTCCCATGAATCAGTCTGAACCACTGGTGCTGGTACAGGTGCCTGCTGAACCTGTGGTTGATTCCAGAGTGTAGCTGTAACTCCTAGCTCTAGCATCGAGGTCATTGACATGAGGAGGAAACTCTGGATCACTGACCTGATCCGGAGTCTGCTGAACTTCCTCCTGCTCCTCCTGAAACTAACCCCTGTCATCTTGAAACTTAGATAGTTACTACTCCTCCTCCATTTGCTGACGCCGTAGAAACTCTTACTGCCTAAGTGCCTCTTCCCTTCGTCGATGATTGTTCTGTCTGGTTCTTGCGTTAACCATGTTGTTAACACAGAAAAATAGACGTCAGTACGATTTACTAGGACTGTAAAATAATACAACGAATCCTAAACTTAAGCTCTAATGAAGAGATAACGCTATGCGGAAGTCTTATATGATAGAATCCTAGAGACACTTAAACCTGGAGTGCTCTGATACCAACTGTGATACCCCTCGAATCTGAGATACGGGTTGATCAGGCCCAGGCCCAAACCCGAGGGAATATCAACCAATCAATATTTTAAACCGAACACAGAATACAAAGTGAATAAAGAAATAATAATAATAAGCTAAAGGAAACTAAATAGAAATCCTCATAATATAATTGTTAAAAATCTGATAAATCAAATCCTCCATAAATTTAACAACTCGGGAATCCATCTAGTGGACCACTATTAAAATCCCAATCCGAAGCTAAAACAACTGAAATAAAACTAAAGCTAAGTATAGATAGTATTCCTACGTAGTCGGAGGAATGAGTGTCTGTATCTGCTCCACACGTCCAAGCTCTAATCCTGGAACTGACGAACACCTGAAAAATAAGAGAGTGGGTCAGGCCCACATGCAAGCCCTATTCTACTATAATCCATACAGTAATTTGATACGCAGATACATCCAAGATAGCTCAACAATATCTAGAGTAGTCTATATATGTATCTATAATCCACACTATAGGACGCTCGCAAGTCCAATAGGTCTGTCTCAGCCTGAGTAGAGATACCATGTAAATCACACATAATGTGGTCATGTGTACCTAGACCTACCAGGGAACAACACCCAGTCCAGTTATCCATCCTAGGCGATATACGTGCCCTAACCATAGTCTTGAGACTCATGCTCATACCATAACATCATATAATAAATATATAAAGTCCGTAATCCTAATACAAAATATCAACCATCTGTATAGTGGTCTGATATATTTATAACACTCCATCCTGAAACCAAAATAGGCCATTCAAGTATCTTATTGACATGACACAAATATGAGATGGACTTAACATTTACGGTTAATCCATACTTTAATCCAACTTAGGTAGGACTTAGTGTTTTGACTAATCCATACCTAGTATATCACCATCTCATACTGGTACATACAATCCTCCAAATAACACAAGTCCGTATAATTAACAAAACAGGAATAAATACTCATCAACCATACTCTAGAATAAGCATACATACAGTCTAATATGTGTATGATCAAATTATACATCCAATATAAGATTTAGAAACCCTATTCCAGTCCTTCAAATTTATAAAGTGGGACTACATATACAACTCCTCCAAATAGTACCATAACTGATGCAATATACAGTAGATTTAAAACATCAATTAATTTCCTTTTAAGCATACTTATTTTTCTAGATAAATAACTATATGCTTATAACACAGTTGAGACATGATTAACAGTTTAAAATCATGCGAAGAAACCAAATTGCTTTAGAAAAACAGTAAGCAATTTCACTATATAATCCAACTTTCCACATACAGGTTTATTGTTTAACCTAATATTATTTCCTGTTTCAACATATCAACATCAACATGCTTCCCAAGGGTTTTTACAAGTCTGTAACAGATATAAATCTTATTCACAGCCACTGGAACCATTTAAAACAACTCCCACAGTCTAAACCAAACCCAGAACTCGAAAAATTAAAGAAATGAGGGTAGAGCCGCCTCCTAAAATAAAGGAGCAGGCTCTCCCCTTGGTGGAGCCATCTCCACTTCATGTTGAGCTGGCTCTACCCCTTGTAGAGTCAGGTCCCTCTTTTGGTGAGCCGGTTCTCATCCTTTGAGAGCCGTATAGCCTAACCTGTTCGTCTTCTTCGCCTCCGACGATGTTTAGAGTCTCTGTACAGATTTTATTACCTATTTTAGTGCTCATTCAATGTCTCAGACTAATCCTAAAACATAGATATACAGCCACAACATGAATTGAACACAAGTTCTAAAACAATCGGCAACAAGATTTCAATTAAAACTTTTAAGCAATGCCAAATAGATTAATTTGATGGAACTAAATACTGATTAAACATGCATACAAGATGAATTATAATATTCATTTAATCTGTTTTAATGTTTATTTAATCCCTTGAAACTTGAAACCACCGTCTTTGAGTTTCCCGTCAACGTTCTAAACTGTCGTCCCACACCTCCAGTGCTCTTGGTTCAACCCAGAAGCACTCTATCCAGTTCTCTTTGAACCTCACTGCTAATCACTCAAGGTTTCCTCTCTGTTTTCTCAATATCACTCACTGTTGCTTTCTGTATTTTCACTACGTGTATGGGGTTTTTTTTAATTCTAGTTGTAATACAAGAATGAAACCTATAAAATAATTAATTCATACTAAGTCGGCTACACCGTGAAACCTAAAACCCTAACCCTAATTTATGCATTTAATTAATTAAACCAATTAAAACAATAATAATAAAAGAAAACACAATTAAATAAATAAATCAACAAGTAATTCAAATAAAACAAATAGCAATAAAAGAAGACAATGTAAATCAATTAACTCAAATAATCACAATTAATGTAAATAATTCAAATCAGTCAAATAATAATAATTAATACACCAAACAAACAATTTAAAATGCATATAAATAATTAAATTAAATTTCAGGACAGTCCTTTTAAAATTAGGGGTATTATAGCAACTTTCTGAGATGTGTCTGTAAGATTATTTATTAATTATGTGACCCACATGATTTGGACATGTGATATATTTCATTAATTAGTGGTTAAGTAAATAGATTTCAGATTAATATTATATTATTTGATCAACTTATAAATTATTTTTTTGGTAATTAATTATTGGGGAAGTGTTTTCCTATTCATTCCTTACTTTGATGGAAAGTGGAATTAAGGTTATTAAAAGGAAAACTGATCATCTCTCTTCCTTTATAAAAGTGTATATTCTTATCAGTTATGTACGTTAATAAAACAACACGTATAATGTTTATGTGTGAAAAAAGTCAAGAGAGAGAAATCAGTTTTCACGTTTTATCTATTATTTGGAGTTGCAGCTTAGTTCATTGTTAAAAGATCTCAACGTTGAAAAAAATCTCGACAATATTTACAATCATAGAAAGATGTATTTATATTTAATTACTTTATAGAGATGTGAAAATAATGAAATTCTAAGATCTTGGGATTCATGTTTATTTGTGATTAATGATTTGCACGAATAATTAAAGTTTACAGTGTATCCATATTTGAGTCCCCCTCCTTTTAATTTGTTAGGAAAAATAAAAAAAAATTAAACCTTATATTAAATGATTATAAAACTTTAAATGTCCAATACCCATAGTCAACTCCTTCAAAGTTCTATTGAACTCTTTACAATTACATTTATGCAGTTGCTAAAAATTCCCAAAAAAAAAAAAATTAGTGCAATTTAAAATTCAATAACTTAATTAGTTGGGTGAGTCATATAGCTCTTAAATTTTGAATATTTCAGAATATATCTATTGTTTCCTTATACATTTTTACTTTTTAGGTCCAATTTTAGATTTTATTAATTTGTATAGTGACAAATTTTTACTTGAAAATTTGAATGTTTCGAGTGAGCTCACGTCAACAACTTGAGCATTTAAAATGTTAGGTTATAAAAATCGTAAATTACACTAGCCTTGTAAATGTCGTCATAGGTTTGGACAACTTACATATGGGTAGACTTTTTAACGTTTATTATTTTAACTTTCCAAACCCATATATTTCAGTTTTGCAATAGCAATAGCTATAATTTGTGTTATATTTAGCAAAATATTTGACAAAGCTATATTTTGCCAGCCCATTGAAGAGCCCATGTTAAACCCACCTTCTATATTTTAAAATTGGCAGCCTAATTGGTAGTCCATTAGAGTTGCTCTGGCAAAGAGAAACATTTTACTTCCATCTACAATCTTACAATGTCATCAAAAGAAAGAGGAATTATGATCAAACTTCACATTAATAGAACTGGTGCAATAAAGATATGAAATCTTCAAACACCGTAACAATCCATATCAAACTTTAGGGTGTGTGAGACACAAAGTGATTTATGTGCAAAAGTGAGTGAACCTTTTATGAGGGACAATTGATTAAGGGACAACTGTGTGAAAATTGTGAGAGTCGATAATTTTATGCCTACATGAAAGAGAGAGAGAGTTTAAGAGGAAGATCTTTATTGTAATCCTTCATACTTTCATAGTGAAAATTTATTCGGTGCGTTTCGCAGGCGTAATCCTAAATTTTGGATGGACCGCGTATATTTTGTGCTCTTATAATTGTTTTTTTTTATATTTTATTACTTGAGTTTATTCCTCGTATATAATTGTGTTGTTTGTTTGTTTCCACGCCAACAACCAAGTATCAAAGCATCTGGTTGTTTCCCTCACAACCTTAATGACAAAGAACACAGGTATCAACAACTCCCGCCACATACCTTAGTGATAGGGAGTACCATAATTAAAAACGTGTGTAAACCATGGTTTGCCAAACTGGCCTATTCAAAACGGATTTGGTAGGGTCCGATATCGGTTCTGATCAGTATGGTAGGAAGCAATCCAATTTGCAAGTGAATTGGGCTAAATCAACCAGATCTCTAGAGAAATAGGCCGAATTGGCTGTATTCTTCGAACCAGCCTAAACCAAACTATCTAACTGCCAAGGGAAGCGTGGTGCGTGTTAGTCAAAAAAGAGTATAAAACCAATAATCTTTAGAACACAACTACTCAACCAACTCAACATCATATCATAGTGATATACTGTGCAGGGGCGGAGCCAGGATTCAATGTAAGGGGGGGCCGTAGTATTAACAGTTTTACTAATATAATATAATAATATTTTTAGTCAAAAGTACTTCATGATCAATTAGATGTATACAAAAATATATTTAGCCAAAATTTGGCCAATTTGTTTACAAAACAATAATTGGCCTATATCAAGTCAAATATGACATAGATAAATACAAAAAGAAACCTGAAAGACCAAACAACTACTACAAAAGGTAGGATCAACTTTTGTATGTTCAACTCTTGGAGATTTTGGAGGACGCTGGTTATCATGAACCAAAACATCAACATTAGAGGCGGAAGCCGAGGAAGGCACATCATTTTTTTGAAAAAAACAATCAATAATTCTTTTTGGCTTCACCATCACGTAACACTGTACCTAAAGAGGGTAATTCAAATATAAACTTTTAATACCTAGGGTTTTACATTGTAATTTAAACCACCGATCCTAAATTCCTAATAAGCATAATTGAGTAAAAATAATATTGCACCCTCATTGCATATAAAACAACTAATTTAAAATAAATAAATAAAATTTATCACCCACAATTGTGCGCCTGTGCAGTGTCTAAAAAATAAATTGTGCACCTGTGAAGTGTCTAAACAATAAATAGTGCGCCTGTGAAATGTCTAAACAATAAATAGTGTGCCTATGAAGTGAGCTTAGAATTTGTATATATAGCAACACTTACATGACTAATTTCAAGTGAATTTTAGAAAAAATAGGAAAAGATAAGTTTTAGAAAGAAAAAAAAGTGTGTACCAATTAAGATTTTCAGAGCCTCCGTGATAGTTTCCCTCAGAATATTATGCAATTTTGCTCCTGAGATGTAAAAAGTTATAAACATCAGTACCATTGAGATATAGAAGTGAACAAATTAGCCACAAATCAAGCAGTCAAGCACTTTTTGCTAACACAAAACTTTAACTTTTAAAAGTTATGTTCTTGTTATTTCAAGTAAAAATTAAACAAATTTTATTTGTAAAGCAAAAAAAAAAAAAAGTATTTCCAGAATAACATATAATGTCAACAAATTATTCCTAAATTCTTGTGAAGTTAGTGTGCAACATTGTGGAACAAAGGCCTGCCTGCATTTATCAAGTAAATGATTTTCTCAACAATCATTATCTATGCACTAAACTTTCACCAGAAAACCACACCAAAAAATAAAAATCAGAGCAGACATAGCTCACATTTAAAGCTCAGATGTTGAATTTCAAAATAAAAATTGAAAAAGAATTCTGTCAAAAGGAGAAATAAAGCAAAATTTCAAATAATCAACTTCATTCATCATGCAACCATTTAATTCGAATCCAACTAATCAATTACAACAAAACACAATAATTCGACTATTTCTAGGGTTTCAATTCAGTTAAACAATTATCAACAGCCACCAAATTCTGAAGAAGCTCACCTATAGTCTTTCTAGAAGAAAAACAGAGTGATAAACAAATAAGAGTTCTGATAATTTATAAGTGATAAACATTAAGGAAAATTCTAACACACGTAAGTACCTGGTCAATTACAGAGTCAGAGAGAGAACTCATAGAAGATGGATACGAAAAAGATAAAATAAGGATTCTGAGGAGTGAGGACAGCAACTATTAGCCGACGGTGATGCAAATAGTTTGTTAGTTTGTGTGAAGGTGGAGGAGATTCGGGAAAAGGTGAAGAACAGAGGGTTAGGGCAAGAGGCAAGGGCGGAGTGTACTAAAATGTTTTGGGGGTGGGGGGGCCAAGTGTACTAAAATATATATATATATATATATATATATATATATATATATATATATATTTTAGTACACTTGGCCCCTTATATATATACTAATAATTTTTTTTTTTTTTTGCGGGGGTGGGGGGGTCAGGCCCCTACTGGCCCACCCCTTCGTCCGCCCCTGATACTGTTTACAAACGACACCAAAATAAAAATAATAATAAATAAATGAAAACAACAAATATAGATTATCAGCATGTTATGTTTCATAACTTGTATGATATTTATCTCTTTTTTTTTTTTTTCTCACATGTTACATATATATATATATATATATATGATATGAATGTTCATTTATTTAACGATTAAATCTATTATTTTTTACTAATTTATTAAAATATACATATAATTAGAACTGTAACTTAAAAATTATAAATAGGTTATTAATTATGCTAAATGGTCTTAAAATATTAAATAAAAATCAGTCAAATCACAAAAAAAAATTATCTATATAGGATTAAAGGATGTGAATAGGCCTAGGTGCCTTTTGGACTCTATATGCTAGAGCGAACAAAATTCACAACTATGATAACAGATTTCGTCATGCAACACCAATATAAGTTCAATTTCGTCACACCGCGACTGCTTTGGTAGCTGCGACTGTAAACCTTGGTGTAAGCCTACCTAACCGAGTTACCTACAAAAGCTGGTGACCTAAATAGTTACAGATAATTCGTACTCCCAGGTTTGGTGCCTAAAAGGTTACTTCTTGGCCCTAATAAATAAGCTTATTTTACAAAAATGTAAGGCATTACAAAATTAAGAAAGAAACAAAAATTATTAGAAACATTTTTTATTTTGTCATTTCAACAATGTAAGGCATTTATTTTTCCCTTTGCTCATAATTTGAATTTGTTATACGGAATATTAGCTTTCTGTGTTATTTGCAAGTTATGTGGGAGTTCTGTTTACAACTTTGTTGAAATGATATAAATTATCAAAACTTTCTTAGCATTAAATATATATTTTCCCCTGTAAGGTATGAACAATATATAGAATCTTGGATAAAGGCCGTCTTTATATAGTATCCATCTACAAAATAGATACAAATTATCTAATATCATAAGATGATTTATCAAACCATATATTTAAGCGAAATAGAGAGCACAAATAATTTCACAATCAATAAGATCTTCTTTTGCAAAAGAACCACCAATTTATTATAACAACCCCAGAGATAATATACCACCTCTTATCACTGGAGTGACATAGTTTAACAAAATACATAACCAATCCAAACTTTCACACTTAGCACACATGAAAACACGAAAATTACTTGAAATCACACACAGACACAAGTTTGTGTTGCCTTAACCTCTTTTCACCAAACTTAAAGGACAACACAGAGCATCCATTATTGTAACTGCATTGAATACAAATGCAGTTAAATTATAAATGATTAAAAGACTAGTAAAAGGTGGCTCATGATCATTGTCTAAATTTTATCCTCACTTGTCGAGATATGCTCCAATTGAAGAGAGGTACTTATCAGACCTTCCATAAAATCCAATGATCTTGCCACAAGTTGATGAGGATTGAAATTTCTCTCCACTCTCCACGCCAAACGGTCCAATCATTCTTTTGTTGCTTTGAAATCCAAGCGATCGGATAACAACCATGTCACCTACTTGTCCATAGTACCCCCAAACTGAAAGCAAAAATTCATCCGGGTAGGCTAATGTAACCTACATAAGTTAAAAGGGTAAGTATGCATGGCATTCATAGTTGCATAAATGAAAGTTTGAGTATTAAAATCTTCAAGGAAAAAGAGGAAAATTTTGTTATTATTGTAATGTATTAAATGAAAAATTATAACTAACCTTGTTTTCTTGTCCGCCGGCAGTACCATGCTTTTCTCCCAATATTCTTTTTCCTTCATTATCATATACAACTTGGATGCAATCAATTACCATTCCGGAATGTATGATTAATTCCCTTACTGTGCTGTAAGTTCCGTCATCCCACTGTTGCCCACCACTAGTTCCAAATGGACCAACAGGTACTTTAGTTTGGAATGGAATAATGTTTACTCCAATTGCATCCAAATAACTACCCTGCCTTCCAAAGAATCCAACAATCTTAACCCCAGTTAACGGGGTCATAAAACGACCTCCATCTTCTGTACCATATGGTCCATATTGCCTGACATTGCTATGTATTGTGAGAGATTTCACACAAAAAAATCCATCAAGGTCCCCAATACATCCTGATATTGAGACGAGATACTCGGTAGGATAGTTTAATTCCACCTATAAAATTTTTAACAAGAATAAACTTGGATATTACAACAAACATCAAAAAATCGTAAACATAATAAAAAATACTTTAAAATGTAAAGTTTATAGTGAAGATCGGAAAAATGATTTCAATATGCAGGAAAAAAAAAAACCCGGCTATTACAAGTTTTCAAGCCGGAAGAAACAAAAAAACCACTATTACAAGTTTTCAAGCCTACAATCATTTGTCACTCTCAAACTCTCTATTTCAGACTTTTTAGTGTTTTCTCGCACCGCACTCCAAAACCTGGTTACAAAACATTTTTCTATGACGCAAAGCTAATAATTAGATCAAGATCAAGTCACAACATGCGTGACCAGACCCAAACAAAAGTTGGGTCACAATTTTACAGTTTTGTATATATGCTCATAATGTGGATTGTGGAGTTCTAATATAAGTATATACTATTTATATGCAATGACGGAGTTTGAATTCCATTTCACTTGATAAAAAAATAAAAGTAAAAATAAAAATTATCAACAAACATAGAAAATATCAAATTGTTCAAATAAAAAGGCAAACAAAAATAAAATAAAATCTTATAGAGAGAGAGAAATGAAGGATGGGTTTAATTTTCAAATCTATGCACATGCGTGATACTGTAAAGACGATTCTGGGTGCATCATTGAGGATGAATCTGGATTATGTATTGATGATGATGGTGTTGTTGAGAAAAGAAGAATTTTAAGAATACATACATCATATATTAATAAATAAAAAAAAAAGAATTTTTAAGAAGAAATGTAAATAAATAAATAAACAAAATGAGAAAACTTTGAAAGAAAACAAATAAAGAATTGACTAAATAAGGAGATCTTTTTCTAAGTGAATTAAAGGAAACCAAAAACTAAAATAGAAAGGAAAAAAAAAATGACAAATAGCAACTGAAAATTTTAGAGGGGGCGTTATTTATATTTTTTATAATATACATACATCAAAAAATTATATATATATATATATATATATATATATATATATATATATTGGAGAGGACCGGACAGGGTGCGTGAGCCCTTTAGGCTATGCTGGCTCGCGCATGTTTACATAATATGATTTGGATCTAATGTGGCTTAATTATTAAATTTGCTTAGATTGTTTTACTCTCTAAGTTTAATTTCCTTCCCTTTTTATTCTCTCTTTTTTCTTGAGATGGTTATGTTGCCTAACTAGCTACATGACAAATATAGAATCAAATATATTTGTACATATGTTACAAATTTGAAAATCAAATTACATATATATTACCTTGTATGTATGTGCAGTCTTTAATTTAGTGTCATGCCCACTTTGCGATGATGGCGGTACTGGCACCTTTTCTGATACTGGTTTTCCTTTATCATCATGCACAATTATCATACCAAAAACTGCTTCTTTAGCGTATATAGTTAATCCTCTTATTGTATCGTAACTTCCGAGATTCCAATTAAGTTCTCTCCTACCAAATTGACCGTATTTCACCATCTGCCCATTCGCCATGGAGTCCTTAAAACTCTAGATAAGTGAAGCACTTCAAGTTTGCAAGAGAGAGTAATTAGATCAAAAGTGAATATACATATGTACACAGCTCAAGTATAGCATGGATGGAGAAGTAATTCTCTTTTTCTATTGATACGTGAGTTGTGATTATGAACAATTTTTTATATTTTTTACTCTATCTCTTGCTATAAAATTGCTGCAGATGTGTAACTTTTTGAGATCAATAGAGAAAAAATAAAATTAGAAAAGAAAAATGTTGCAGATGTAAGAGCCAAAAATATGGAAAGAACTTTCTTTTTCTTTCTTTTTTTTCTCTGTAAATAAAGATGGAAAATACTTACATACCAAAAAAGAAGAACTTGAAGGAGACAAACAGTGGAAAACTCGGAGACAGAGCTACTAGGCAAGGATGGAACAGTACGTTGTCTTGAAATAAAAGAGAGATGGCACGGGTATATATAGCCAATGGAATCGTAAGCAATTTCATTTTTCATTATTATTTTATTTCATTAAAAAAAAAAAAAAAAAAACCACGTGGGGTAAGTGATCCAAAACCACTATAATAAGGGCGGAGCTAGAGCCTCGGAAATTTTTCCAAATTTGTGTCTCCAATAAAAAACGTGCATGTTATACTTTAATCATATATGACAAATATATGTGACTTTAATCATTTTAATTAGTTTCATTGACAAAGGTAATTTCAAGAAATTAATTTAAAACTTATTTAATTGTGACTTTTAAACTATTTCAATTTGACACCATTTTATGATTGCAACAATACATAAGAATAAAAATCTATACATGTATGTGCATTTTTTCTTGGAGTGGTTTTGTGTTTGTTTACCTGATTTGAATTTAGAGGCTATATATGAGGAGCAGATGATCAGGGAGAAGAGTGAAGAGGTGAACTTAAAAATATTATTAAGATTAAGTAAATTATATTAATTTGTAATGTTACAAATTAATAGTTAATTAACTTGTATAGATATAAAGCAAGGGCGTTTTTGTCCAATATATTAAAATCAATAGACTTCTACCCAAATGGTATAACCTTTGAATCCACAAAGAGGAGGCCGGGAAGGGATGACCTTAGCTTGGGTGTGAACAAAAAATGTGTATTAGTACATTAATATAAATAAATAAATATATATATATATATATATATATATATATAAAATTTATATACACTTGCACAAAAGCCTATATATACAGCTCATAGAGTGAATTGCATGTTTGATCGATCAATGCTGATTGATTAAGAAAGCAACAACTTCTAACGGATCAACAAAGAATCAATTATTTGCACTGTGTTTTGGAGGAGGATCTTATTTTTGAGTCTAACAAATCTTACCAACACCAACCTGTAATATTAGAAAGAGAATACCTTCTGATAAAATTTATATATATATATATATATAGATTAGAAAGAGAATCCTCTTAAGATGGACGAATAAGCACCGATACTTTTAAGTTATCATTACAGCATTGAATACTCGAACACTTCTAAAATATATGAATTCAGCTAGAAGTATCCAACGAATATTTTAAACCACGAGCTTGTATCATACTCATTTAATACCTATGCTGAGAATATTTTAAACTACGAGCTTGAATAGTATAAAAATTGATTCTTATTTTAAACCACGAGAGCTTGAATATTTTAGTGATGAATGTTTGGTTTATATAATATAACCAATGCCTGGTGCTTCATGCAACAGTCGATGACTATACTACAACATCACAATTCATTATATAGATTCAAGAGAGAAATAAAAATTACACTATTGTGTTCTCATTAATATTTTTAGTTGTCACTTATTAGATGATCGACAAATTCTATAAAAAAAATTGTTGAGTTAAAAAGTTATATTTTTTTCTCTTGATCTTTCATCAAGGTAAGAGTGACATATATTTCTCAAAGTGGAATTAAAGTAATTATTTTTTTTTTCAAAAATTGAAACAATTGTTGAATAAATTTTAATTATTGAACAATATTTTTCTTTACAACTTCTTTTTTACTTGTAACTTATCACTTCCTCTTCTTTATTTTTCTTTTTCTTTTTCATATTAATTTTTCACTACTAACAAGAATAATATTATTATAAAAAAATTATATAAAGTTGATATATTTATAAATCTTTCAAATTTTAATTACACAGTAGTACAGACTCCCCAAATCCAAATTTCTAGCCCAGCCCCTTACAAATCTTCATCTATTTGTTGTTAATTTTGACACAGGTTGCTAAGGTATTTCTTAAATTTCAATAGAAAGACTAATGGTAAGAATCATTTTGTATATGAATCACACTTAATATGAGAAATTCATAATGATAATTTAGAAGAAGAAGAAGAAGAAATAGACAGATAAAAGGAACAGATGGTGAAGACAGGAGTGTGACAAAGAGTAAATAAGTTCTTTTAGAGTAATTTCAGCAAATATAATTACAATTATTCTCAATAAATTTTTGCCTTTGAATTTATGCATGATAACTCGGTATTTGAAGAAATAGAAATCAGGTTCTTGAGTACTGATTGAAAGTTGAGAAAATTTGACTGCTTTTCACTTCCTCGTCGTCTAAAAGAGACATAAATTAAGTTATCTATTTGATTGCTCCATTTAGCGTTTAATTATCTGAATATATTAAACATTTATCCAATTAAGTGAATTATAACGGAATTTGAACATCATTGAACACTATAAGTTGCCACTACTCTATCACTTATCATTGAATATTGAAAGTTAAAAATTTTTAAAAATATTTATTTTTTAATTACCACTTAAAAACTTTAGCTTTCAAATTTCAACTCTCCAAATTTTCAGTACTTATTTTTCAGTTTTATCAAACATAAGTCACTGGTTCAAGTGTTTTATTTAAATAAATTGCATTAAATTGTATAATATGGAATTATTTACAAATTAGAATATATGATATTGTATATTTTGAATATTAGTTTGAACATACATAATTAATTTATATAAAAACAAAACAAAAATTTTATAATACTGTATTATTTTATATAGAAATAATAATGGCACATTATATTTTAAGTATTAATATAATTTATAGTATATATAATAGATATACTTTTATCATAAATTATCTATAATAAATAATTATTATTGATAGGGAATATTCAACTGGTTAGGAACTCCAAGTATCATGGGAGTCCAAGAGTTGGATAAATTACCAGTGACAAGAATAAATTCATCCTTCCACAACGTGATGAAAAAGTCAAGGGAACTAGTTCCTTAGGTGAACATTACCATTAACTCTCCTTTTCTTGGACAACTCAAAAAGTATGAAACAAATTCCTAAGAGAGTCATTTCACCTTCCATCCTCCACACCGATGCCCTCCCAATCACCTTTCTCTTTCTGTGTCTGGTACGTTTCGAGTCGTGGGTCGCCACATCTTGAATCAACTATACTTTAATCATGTATCACAAATATATGTGAATTTAATAATTTTAGTTTCATTGACAAGGATAATTTGAAGAAATTAATTAAAAACTTATTTAATTTTGACTTTTAAACTATTTCAATTTTACATCATTTTATGATTGCAGCAAAATATGACAATAAAAATTTGTGCATATATAGTATGTGCATATTTTCTTGAAGTGGTTGTGTTTTGTTTAGCTGATTTGAATTTAGAGGCTATAGATGAGAAGGTGGTGATGGAGAGAGAGTGAAGAGGTGAACTTAAAAATATTATTAAGATTAAGTAAATTATATTATTGTTACAAATTAATAGTTAATTAACTTATAAAGATACGAAGCAAGGGTGCTTTTGTCCAATATATTAAAATTAGTCAAATAGTTATTTTATATATTAATAAGGTTATTTAAGTCATTTTACTTCACTTAAGGGTAATTTTAATATTGAAAAATTATCCCAGATGAAACACGGTAATCAAAGTAATTGTGTAATTTAGACAATACCCTTCAAAAAATCAAAAGGCTTTTAGCCAACTGGTATAATTTCCCAATTCTAAAAATGAAAACGGAGCGTGGACAAAAAGTGTGTGTGATTATTTATCCAACATATATATATATATATATATATATATATATATATATATAATCTTTTTAAAAATATATTAAAAGGAATTTTTAAATTTCTAGGCTTCCAATTAGTACATCTAACTTTAGTAAATTTAATTACACAATGGCAGAAGTAAGTTTTGTTTTTTCATTGACAAGAAATAAATTCTGTTTTTTCATTGGCAAGAAGCACATACCACTCATATACTCACTTTGCCTTTTTGGAACTCAAACTCTCATCATCCACTTTAAATGGTAGGGGAAATACCACTAAGCCATGGTAATGATAGATATAAGATAAAAGAAATAGGTAGACAATTAGATGATTTAATGAAAAATGCATAAATTCATTACCAAATTATTCCAACATTTGTGTGAGACTTAGGTGATCGACACTTATCCAACAACAGCAACAATAAAAAAATTAAAAATTAAAAATTAAAATTAAAAATTAAAAATTGAAAAGAGAAGTGGTTGATATAATCTTTACAAAATCATATCTAGAAATTTTGATGATTCGAGGATTATAAATTCATTAGAGGTGCTTGAGTAAAATTTACTTATCCAATTATGGGATGCTGAAGTCGTGATTCATGTGAAAACAAATTAATTATGCATGTAAGACAAATTAATTAACAGTCACCCATAATATTGAATGTCTCAATACAATAATAAAGATGCTCAAATAATTATGCATGTAAGACACTGTGATTGGGAGCAGGATTTTATATTTTAGTCTAACGAATCTTACCAAACAAAAGAGGCTACACCAATCTGTAATCCTAGAAAGAGAATCCCCTCTTACGTGACAGAAAATTTATTTCGTACAGTGAACTCATATTCCACACACGACACTTTATATTATTTTTTTAATCTCTGGAGTCTGGGTGGATCTCAAAAGTGACACAGCAAATTTTTTGGTAAGTCCATTCACGTGAATGCGAACTTTCAAAAAATAATTATTAAACAAAAATAATAATAAATAAACCTTGTAATTGTAAAAAACGGAGATGAGATTCATTGTTTTCTGTCCCTTTGTGCATTACGTTCTCTAATGAAAAATGTGATTGTGATTCTGAAACATGCAGTACACTCGACGTCAATTTTTTATTGCTGAAATTTTGTCTTTTAAGTGATACTAAAACTTTAAATAAATAAATAATATTCTTTCCGTCCCGTATTAATTATCCACAGTAAAAAATTTAACTCACAATTTTTGTGAGTCAAAGTTATCAAAATAGACATTTAATATGGAATATAGGTAGTATATGAGTATAAAAAATGAATATGACTAAAAATGATCTCAAATGACTCAAAAATAAAAGGTGATAGTGAGTCAAAGTTTTTGAATTGGATAACTATTATGGGACGGAGATAGTAACAAGAAAATAAAACAAACAAACAAGACAATCCAGTATTATATTATTCACAGACGCCTTTCTCT